TTTAAACTTGAATTATTCAAATATTAGTGTTTACCTACTAACAATTGTTCTCAGCATCGGAACAAATATTTTTTGAAATTTATTGCGTAGTTAATGAGGGACGATTCCCAGGTGTCCCTTTGCTTTTTGTCCGAAATATAGTTGATTACAGATAATCAACGATCCTGATTCCGAATATGATAGCCATTTGGGCTCTTATTGTTTTTTTAGTCCAAAACTTGAAAGACAGACCCATCAGTCCTTAAGAGTTCAAATTTTATTTTTCTTGAAAACTATGTTTTGACAGCACCAAATTACAGAGGATATCAAACTCTGTATATTCATCAATTTTTAGCCGCATCAGACATGTTTTACAGGAGTTAAAAAAAAGTAAAAAATTAATCGTTTCGTGTGAACGGCTACCGCCAGTTGCAATTAATAAACTTACAGTTCAGTTAAAACACGTCTGGTAAAACTAAAAATTCATGTATACATACAACTCGATATGTTCTACAAGCTGGCATTGTTGAAACTGTGTCAGAAAAAGTTTTAGATTTTAAACTTTTCAGAAAACTTTGGATCTCTGAAAGATCACTAAGAACGTAAATGGCTATCATATTCGGAATCAGTATCGTCTATTACCTATAATCAGCTATATTTCGGACCAAAAGCGAAGGGACACCTGGGAATGGTGCCTCGTAAGCTTAATAATCACGCTCATCATGGGCACAAGTATAAGGTTTAAAATGTATGATAATCATAATACGGGTTTTTAGTGAGTGTTATGCATAGAAAAGTGGTATGAATTGAAATATTAGCTATTCAAACTCAATGTTTTAGTTTAGTAATTCTAAAATCTTTATTTTTAGAAAAAGACACTTGGTGATATACAATTTTCTTTAAAATTTGATCCAGCAACTTCCAAATTATATCTTACAATTATTGAAGCAAAAAATTTAAAAAAAATGGATCTTATAGGTTTATCTGGTATGTGTTTTTTTGAGTACTTTTTCATTGACATTAGATTGGTTGAAGCATATTTCTAATAACACTCATGAAAATAATTACGTTCACTACATCTATTGTTAATACAACAGAACTTTGCCATATCAATATAAACGTACATAGCTTTTATGGCTGTGCGGCACAGTTGTAACCGGTCCGGTTGAGTGAGTTGGACCGGCCGGTTTTCGCCGGTTTCACAAAGTTGTGCATATTCGTTTATTTTTCATCGAAAAGATACTATGTATGGGTGCTTAGTAGAGAGAGTGAGTTTTTACCGGTCTGGAAATATTTTTAGACCGGACCGGTCTAGTATTTCCAGACCGGTTACAACTCTGCTGTGCAGGAACGTAAATTATGACTTAGCAGTGTCTCAGTCCGATTCACCATCGATATATTTGTTTTTCTTTTCAATATTTATCAACCGTCACAGTTACAAAAACCCATGTACATTCAAAGTTCTATAAAATATAAAGTACATCAATAGGTAAAGAGGAATTTTTTATCCTCTTCAACTCTCTCAGCAAATAAACTATTTATATATCTACTATTGTATTCAGTTTTAATTCTGTTTATAGTAAACATCACTTTATTCTATTAATAGATCCATACGTCAAAATATCATTGGTCCTAGGTGGTCTAAGATTGAAAAAAGTGAAAACAACAATTAAAAGGTCAACATTGGATCCATATTACGATGAATCATTTATATTCAACATACCACGCTCACAAATTATGGTAAATCAAAAGGAAAATAAAAAATTTTATGAGAAAAAAAATCTTTTCCTCTCCCCGACATCAAGTACTTTAAGGTTGCACAATTTTTTATTATTTTCGCTGATTTACTCTTCAAGGTTTATTTCCGAAAAGTTGACTTGGGTTAAAATAATCATTTTTAAGAAAAAATATACAGTTGAATATACTGGAGTCTCCTCTCATTTATGACATAGTTTTACATCTTAATGAAGACTTTGATTGATTTTCTAAGAAGGTTTCTAGAAGTGCTAGTTAAGAAAGGAGTTTCTTTGAACTAAAGTTTGCTCATGTAGCAGTCAACTAAACATTGATCTTACAACACTCTTTTAAACAAGACCTCTTTAGGAAAAAACAAATTTACTAACTGGAATTATGAAACTCTAGCCGCTCCATTTCACCCATGGTTTTCATCATAACTCTCGAATCGGTCGAAAGATCGCATCGTGTGACTGTGTTGGTTCGCATGACTGTGAACTGTGTTTGTTATGACTGTTTTTCTCTAAAAGTTTCACCAATATCCGATTTCAGTAGCGAAAAAAAAAATAGATTTCTGTAGAGGAAGTCATAACTTAATAAAGTTTAAAGCTTTTTTTAATTTAAAGGTTTTGTTTTCACAAAAGTTGTTTAACGTCATTCCTAGAGATATGAAAAGTATTTTCTCATTATTAAAATCTTATTTATTATTGTAGAATGTGAAATTAGTAATCGCAGTGATTGATCATGATTTTATTGGAAGCTCAGATATAATAGGTAAGATATCGTTTGTTTTTATCAGCTTTCTACATAGTCTATTGTTATATGATTTTGTACTAATTAGTTGACCATCTATTCAAAGAAGAATCTGAATTTGTATTTCTAAGATTTACAACATAGATGAGAAAACTGCAGTTGATATATAGCGTTTCGATGGAATTCTTTTCGAAAAACTTGTATCAAGTTGAAAGAAATCCTAGTGGCAGAACGGGTTCCAGACTTCGCAGGGAGATGAAAATGGTGGTTTTTGTACTACCACTCATAGGGAAATGTCCAAACACAAAATTCACCTTTTAAAACAGCATTTCATAACGCCAAGATTTCTCAGTATCGAAACATCGCAGAGAGCTCGGAAAGATCTTAAATTGAAGCTGACACATGTGGCTAGAGACTTTCGATATTCGGTCTGGATTTATAAAAATTAGAAAAACATCTTTACCAAAGTTAATGAGACTTTTTCGAATTTTGGACTTTTGACGCTGACTATTAATTTGAAAAGAAAAAGATCAAAAATCCAGCTCTATTAGCCTCTAGTCATATGTGTTTTCATCACTTTAAGACCAGCTCGAGCTTTCCACAACTTTTCGTTGCGTCCCCTTAAGGGCTCCCTCAGAAATTATCTCCGACACCGTACATCCGATCTTGACGAAACTTTCCATAAATGTTTGGTACAATGAGTTACTGGAATGAAAAAATTTTTCTCTCTCCAAGGCTTACGGTTTAGGAGTTTTCCAGAGATCAAGGTTCAAAAAGGATCCTAAATGGCGTCCAAAGATTTTTTAATGTAGTTCCAGCTGGAGAGTTCAGGTTTCTTTTATTTTAAACTAGACACCTAACTACATCGACTGATCAGCGACGATTTTTCAGCTAAGCCTTTATTGGTTTTCCAGGCAACTAACAACCGCCAAAATCCGAAAACGCTTTTCGGATTTTCCAAAAATCCTCAGTTTGACAAAAAACTAAGACCGAATTCAAAAATCGACGCCGGTCAGTCGATGTAGTTTCTTTTCCTCTTTTAAACAAAAAAAATGAACTCTCTACGACAAACGGCTATTAAAAATCTTGGGCCGCACTTCAGATGTAACTCTTATATAGAGAAAACGCTGTACTAAACGCTGTATGAAATACTCGATTTTAGGGCTTCTAGGAAAATGCCTGTAACTTTTTGATACAAGGTCGTACAGAGTTGTGCGAGGTCTTATTTTGATCAAAAACGTTTGTTCTACAAAGCTGAGTTCTCAAAAAAGTGTTAATTGCATGAGTATCCAGGAAAAAACCATTATTTGAAGATCCGTTTTTTCGAGGCTCTTAGAAAACTTGCTTAAAATCCACGAAAAACCAGCTTTGTAACCAAAAGCAATACAGATTCTGGAATTAGACACTTCAGGCTATCTTTCCATGTGCGTATCTCAAAACCGGATGTATCTCGACCAAGATACAGCACTAGAGAAAATTCTACACACTTCTTATCGACTTCCTACTTGGCTCCTGTAAGATTTTAAAGTTAGGAATCTACTAGAAAATCGATAAGAGGTGCTCAGAACTTTGTCTAGAATTCGGTCATTCTATTTTCTTCTTAGGATCCTGTTCTGATCTTAATAGAATTCTAGCAAATCCTATGACGTTCGGATGTCCTAAATTATACTAGAATTCTAAAGGATTGTGTTAAGATCCTAAGTGAACTAAATCATGAAAGGATTCTGGTCGGATTTCTTTAAGATTCCATCAAGAAAGGTATAGGTTTGTTACTACAAGATGGTAAATTATCTAACTGAGATATTTTTACATAGTATTTATGAAAAAATCATTATTAGAAAAACTGTCGTTCTAATTCAAAAGCATAACTAAACTGCGAGGAAAATGATGAAATATAGTCTAGATTCATGAATCTATCGCATAGGTAGGTATGCACCGGTATCAGTATGCACACCGAAGATCTACTTTTTTTATCTGGACTTTTTCATTCGAATGAGATATTTTAGCGCCCTGAACACACAGAAAGAATCAGGGAGGCAAAACAAGAGCTTTGTTTAGTTTAAACTATTTTGTTTAAAATAAGAAGGTCTTAAATAAGGAAGCGAATGAGGGGCACTCATGATAGTGATCATTATTTCGTATAGATGAAAGTAGAATATAAGCAAGAACAAAAAGAGTGAAGGACAAAACAGGAGAGAAAAAACGAACAGAAGAAAAATTACTTTCAAAAACTAAAATTTTTCTTTTTTTTTCTATCTGCATATCCTCAGAACATACAACTGAGTGTTTTTTATGCATTCTGCCTGCCCAGAAAGCTAAAATATCTCGTTTCAAATGAAAAAATCCAAAAAAAGTCCAAGCAAAAAAGTCGGTATTTTCGGGTGTACCGATACCATGTATACCTACACATAGGATTTTTTTGAAAATAAAGATGTATCTCCTGATCAGCAAATAAGCCATAGCTGGATTAAGATAGTAAATGTATCCGATCTGTGATGCAATCCTGTTCGAGATAATAACCCTTCTTCAGGATATAAGATCGTACTAACTGTGTGAATAAACTAATCAAATATGGTTTTTTTCAGGTAAAATTGTTTTGGGATGTAAAGAGAGTGGAACAGGACTTGAACATTGGAATAATATGTTAGCAGCAAAACCAAAAACAAAACCAGTAGCACAATGGCATACACTCAAACATATGAATGATAACAGTTAAATTCGTAATAATTATAATTGTTTGCACATGCTTTTATTATAAACTTTGATAACAAAGAGAAGGTAATATCCGAGCCATTCTCGCAATTTATATTTATTTTTGTTGTAACAATTTTGTTGAATTGTAAGAAATCTTCTTTTTTGTATTGTGTTACATTTATGTATAATTTTCTTTCATAAATAACCAACTATCAAATGAAGTCAGTATCTTCTTCGAAAGCATTTGTTTCATTTTCATTTGACAAAGTATATATATAGCCGAGTGAGCACATTTAATTTGTTGCACTCATTTGTTCAAAAACATGAGTCCATTGCTCGTCGTATTTCTTCTACGTTTTTGAATCAAATCATGCAGCAATACTATACTATACATTTTCAACTACGGTAGTGGCCTTGTAGTGGTCTCGATGAGTGTAGTGCGATGCAGTAAATGAGTAGTCAGGTGTAATGGCCAATCTTTTGTACTGTAGTGTAATGTTGCTTTTTCCCTCTTGATCTAACTACATTATTCTTGTGGACTGTACAAATGTTTTCATTATTAATGGAACTGGAGAATACCAACAATCTCAATTGTGTTATTTAAAATCTTTTGGTAATGTACCCACATTATTAATCCTCTCTGGTTGCTTGTATATGAAAAGGTTTTTTTACAAACACAGAAAAAGCAAAGAAATTCTATATGATTGATTTTCTTTTGTTTATTCAACTGCCTGCTTTGTCTGGCAAAATCATAAATACTTTCTAGTTGTTTGTTCCCTCAAAGCATTTCTGTGATGTATAAAAATGTTTAACCTCTTTACTCTCGCTACAACATTAAATTAATACTATTACTGCGCAAAAAAATGTTTAACCAAAAGTCGGATCCAATTACTGCTTCTTCTACGATTGATACAGAACTAGTTGAATGTCAGAAATGCGTTGTGATTAACAAAGAACATGTAACACATAGTACTAAACGTAGTCGTTCCAGTTACGATGAGCAGTTATTAGAATCGTGTAACATAGTAAAAGAATATAAAGTCAGAAAACAAGCGTATAGTAATAATTCTCAAAAGTTCGTTCGATGTGTAATGGCAAAATGGGGTTGTCTGCAGCAATTGACCGAAGATGAGCTTCATGATCATTATTTAAGTAAAGTTCATCAAAAATATCTAATGGTGGCTATTCGTCATTATATTATGACAATTCACTTGGATCATGATTCGAACATACAGATAAATGCTAAACAATTCCATAGGATCACAACTACTCAGGATACCGGATGTACAACGGTAGAACTAGATGAAATTGGCCAGACAATAAATAAATTATATGAAACTTTGACGATTCTAACTGATGCCATCCAGACGTATTTTATGATATAACAAAATTAACTATTGAGTTCACTCACATAAAATCTACCGTTGACACCAATCAACAGGAATTACTGAAACTAAAACAAACGGAAAGAGAACAAGATGCATTCATTGGTGGAATACAGATAAATCAACAATTATTGCAACAAAA